GCAAATGTCTTCGAAAGTCTAAGGTGCTGTCTGTGTGAGTTACGATGAAAGTGCTGGGAGAGGAGGTGTTTATGTAGTCTGTCTGGTATCTCTTTTCCAAAATGTATCTTTGGGTACGTACTTTGGGAACACATTTTTAAAGTAAAACCAATGTGTTTAGTATACTTCCCTTACTTAGGGGAACTTGCAACTGGTCAATTACACCAGTAATTCCAAACACGTGTCAGAAAAACCCATCCATGTACTGTGCTCTGCGAGTTTTGACCAATTGACTGAGAAACTGTTTTTAAAATATTGTGAGAAATGTTCTAACATTACTGTTACTAATTTTATATATTCTTAGAGAAAACTTTGTGGTGTATTTTTTCCAAGACTTCTTTTTTTTTCAATATCTTTTAATGCATGTTTGTACTAGTAGTAGAAATTAAGACTTTTCTGTAATATAAACCTAGAAGTTGGAATGGATTGTGATGTAGTGAAATATTACCACGCTTCTGCTCACCTAAGGTTAACCTGGTAGGTCACTGGATCACCATTGTAGAGGACAAAGCAAACAGCAGCTATGTACCTGGTATACTTAGATTTTTTTGTTGGTCTCTGATCCTGTTAAAAGCCACTTGAACTCAAAGTGCTTGAACTAAATTGCCACGCATGGACTTTGCCTTAGAAAATGGGAGCATAGCCCCTGAGTTTTGGTAATCTCTTGTCAAGAGAAAAGGGTTAAGACCCTATTAGGTAGGAATCAGGCATTTGGACTTTTGAGAATCCCTGGATACACCCTTCTGATAACTGCAGGACCCTGTGTGTTTGTAACAATTGTGCTGCTAATAATATATTGATTCTTATTTTTTGTCAAGTATGTGAGTATCTATCTGTTCCTACATAGTGTTAAAGGGAAATCTAGTACATGAAGAACTCCAACCAGCTGTGTGAGTCCAGACTGAGAAAGGTGGAGTATGGGCTGTTAACAAAACCAGTTGATGATTTAAAGATTTAGCTGTATGAAAAAATTTTCCTTTAGATAGTCCTAGTAAATACACTATTACCTAACTTTTACTAAATACTTAATTGAATCTGAAATGCTGAATAGAAATACTTTTTTCCTGATAATATAGTATTATTTGTATCTTAAAGGATATGCAAGTAAATCCTCAATTTATGCATAGTTTTAATTTTATAATGATGTTTCTTGAAAATATGAATAGGTGTGCTGATCTTGCATCCAAGACTTCAATATTCATCTTCCTTATTTAGTTATCTAAAGCTAGGGAAGGTACCTTACACTTGTGTTCACAGTTGTTTGTTATTGGTCATTAAAATGCTGCACAGTCATTTGTTATAGGGTTAAAATCTTGTTTGGCCATTTGTTCTGGAGAGTTAAAACGTTGACTGCAATGTAAGAAATTGAACTCTGGTTGGATTATTAATATCTCCCCTAACTGATGTCTCAAATGAGAGCGTTGTCACTTAAAAGTAGTGGGCTGCTTTAGCAATCTACTTATCATGAACTCATATCCACAGTAGAATTGCATATAATGGATAATGTCAGAAATTTGGGTGGGGAATTAATAGCTGTAATTTACTTTCTGGTTGTGCTGCCTTTTCTTTCTGAGAAAATACATGTGCTTTGATATTTATTGCAGATACACATTCTCAATCAGCAATTAAGTTATGTTTTCTTATTGTGTGTAAAAAGTAATAAATTTAGTGGAGATTCTCTTGGCAGTGTGGGAGGGAGAAAGAAGAGTTCTAGTTCTACATTTACTTCACCTTACCCCATCTCCTTGCCACCTGCTCTTCAGCCATGGCATTGAGAGCTTGCCCTCCAGTTTGCTGCTGTGACTTCTCCATAGCTCCAGCCCTGCACATCACATCCCACTTTCCATCTCTTCAGTCAAATACTGAAAGTCAAATACTGTTTCTTTGTCTTCAAAATATCTTAGGGCTTAACAGTACAATAAATCAATCACTGGAGTATCCAGTACCCCAGTACAAGATCAAAATACAATTCTGAGTCAATTGCAATTCACTCCTTTGGGTTTCTTCTTTTTTACTTCCCAGAAGTGCTTTTATGTTGACATGTGTGTCTCTTGTTCATGCCATCCTGACGTGGTGCAGGACAGGGTGGTCTTGCTTGCACTTTCCTAAGCTCACTCTGGCCTTTTTGGCAGATGTAGCAGTCGTTTTTGTTGAAGTCAAGTTTGTACCATTCGACAATAGTGCAGTCTTCCTCTCTGCTGCCACTGCTCAGAGAATCACTGCCTTGTTAGCCCAGTAAACATTTTTAGTTTGAGTGCTGGCAGCTTATCATGTCAACTATTGACATTTGTAAATTTCCCTCTATATTAATGCAGCAGGAAAATGCCCAAGCAAGCATTTTTCTGCATTCTTTTTTACAGTAACCAGCAATGGCTACAAACTGAGCCTTTTGGGTGTGTTTCTGTGGAGTTGGTCTTAGAATTTCTGAAGTAATCAGAAGTTAGGAATTCTAAAAACAAATACCTAGATAGACTAAATAAGAGGTATTGTAACAAATTAAAAAATACTTTTTTTCTGTAAGAGTATAGAATTGATGCCAGCAAACTGTTTTATGACTTTACAGTACATGATAATGGTTAACATAAGTCAGTTTCTCTGGTTGAAGATATCCATTGTGTGTTCTTCTCTTGGGACATTCCCTTTTCCTTATGCATTACAAGGGAGACAGAGGCATGTGGCTTTACTGCTGAGGGAAAGAGCCTGTTTTAAAATTTGCAGAGGGAATTTGAATTGACATAGTCCAGAAGTTTTGGTTTGTCATAGGCTGTTGGGTTTTTTGGTTTGTGGTTTTTTGTTGCATTTTTGTTTTTTGCCTTGCCTTTCCCCCCCACACTTATTTATCTTTTGTCCCTGTGTCTAATTGAAAAATATTGTGCAATCATTTACTGAAGTCTTCCATTTCTGTGACGCACTAAATTTCCTTATTTGTGCCATATACTATATGGCATAATTACAGAATTGATCCAGGAAAAAAAAAAAAAGAAAATGCCTTTGCTTTTGGAGACTTCCTTTGAATTTTCAGTCACTGGTGTAAAGGCTGGCAATAGTGGTCAAGTTGAATAGACTTAGAGGGTACCTCTAAGAAATGAAACCTCTCCTAGACTGAAAACCACCTTAAAATCACTATCTTATTTCTTTTATTTATGGATACATTTTATGTCAGCATTAATTTTAAAATTTCATAAATCTTATATGTAATACATTTAGATATCAAAATCAAATACAATAGACACACCAAGTTTAGGAAGTGAGAAAATGAGAGAGTGGTCCTGGCAGATACAATCTTGCTACTGCTTTCCTGTGGTATCAGTCATGGACTCTGTAGCAAACATGTAATAAAGATTGCATCAAAATACATGAAACTTACATAAACTGAGAAACATTCTTTATTAATATTTAGCTTTAAATGGAAAATCTCACTTGCCATTATACACATTTTATTCCATAATTTTTTAATGGTTACCTTGCCGCATGTATAATGTAGTTTTTAAATGTGGGGTTTGGACTCTTAATTCCTCTCCATTGCAGGACAGTCTGCTACACAAACTGCAGAAATATTTAGGCAACACCTGGAAAAGGATGACAGGTTTAGATTCAGGAGACAGATGTGTTTGAGAGATCTGGTTGAGTCTGCTCCTTGTTTCAGTAGTTTGGATGACCTCTGTTACTTGAAGGGCTCCAAAACTGGATTGGCAGCACCATGTGCCAGATTGAGTGGCTATTGCCTCAAAGAAAAACCTGGTTGCTGCAGGTGTTCCTACATGTTCCTCAAATGTACCATTCATTTTAGTCTCTTTCGATGGTTTTTGTGTGTGTTAAGGATGTCATGCTTGTGGTGTCAACAACCCAAGGTGCAAAGAAGGTCACTCTTTCCAGTGGTGCAGACTTCATACTTGTGTTTTAAAGAGCATCATCTCTCTCCTGTCCCTGCAGCTGTGTTATTGCACTGTTAATTGATTTGAGATCCTGGACTGTATCTTTAAGGTGTACTGGTAGTGTTTGTGGAATAAGACAGAATTTTACTGACCAAGGCATGAAAGAAAATCAAGGTTTCTGACAGGTTATATGGAAATTAGCTCTGAAACAGCTGATCTGAAGAAAGAAAAGATATTTCTGTAGCCTGAGAGACTTATCCATGCAGAGTTTCAAAGTCAATCTTAGCCCAGTGGATCTATCTTTAAAAAGTTGCCATTTTAATTTACTGTGACACCTGGTAGGCCACCAGCCCCCCAGATATTCCCCTGGTATGCTGTTCCACTTGGTTCTGTCACTGCAGGAGCAGATTCCAGGCCTCAAGCTGGCAGAGGATCACCTTCAGGAACAAATGGGAGTCATGTACAGCTGAAATAATGGCTTCTGTGTCACTTACACTATTACCTTTGGTTCTGACATTTACCTGGTGGGAAAAAGAATATGCTTAAGTAGGGCCATAAAATATTTGGTTTTCTGCCATAAACTAAAAGTAGTTAATAGGGAATAAGTGTCTTAGCTCTAGCCAACTGAACTTCTTGTTGCTATTGGTCTGATGGTGTAATAACTCTGGCAAGTTCTGCGAGCTGGTAAAAATAGTGAATGTCTCTTTATGTGAAGACTTCTCAGTTTATTGAGAAATTTCTAGGAACAAGATCAAGTTCCATTGTTTAAACATATTTTAGTAGTACATATCACTGGAAAAACTTTCAGTATGATTTTTTAGTCTCGCTGCAGAGTTTCTTACTAATGTGTTTGCTTTCTAATGGATAGTTTTGGTTGGAAATCTGTGGGGAAAAAAGCACTATTACTCTGACTTAAGCATTTTAGAAAAGCTATTTCTACCTTTAAAAGAGGTAATTTGAGAAAACCATAACTTTTCTAGTGGTCTTTCTCATGGAAATATGTTTAAAGATAAGTATCAAGAGTAACTAGAATATGATGCAGAAAGAAATAATCTGAGAACTGAGAATTCTGTTCTTTCTTGGCAGCATCTAAGCCAGTCTGACCAAGAACAAGACTTCTCTGACCATCTAAGCCAGTCTGACCAAGAGCAAGAGTACTCCCATAGCCATTGCTGTTAAACTGTTCAGGCCCTTGACAGCTGGATCATTTACTGACCCTTCTCTTCATGTGATTTCTTCTGGGATCAAACACAGCAGTGCCATGCTGAGCATTTCCCAAATGCAGGAGGACTGAACAAGAGACAGACTTATCTTAGATTGATGACTAGATTGATGGTAAGCAGCACAGAAGGTTCAAGCCTCATGCTAGCATAAAATCATTTGACAGATAGAAATATTTGCTTATAAATTGAAAGAGTAGGTAATAATAGTGGTTTTTTATGATTACATTACATGATATTTTGTGATTACATAGACTAATAGCTAGCAGATGGCAGAGTGTACATTTTACTTGTTTACCAAGTTGATGGATGGCAGTGATTGAAAAACATTTTTTCCTTGTTGCATTACTCTAAAAGCTTGTAGTGGACAGGCAATTTACAAAATGAGTCAACAATAATTTGTATCTGCTCTGGATTTTGGGGGGCATCAGTTATTCCCTTTATTTTATTTGACTTCTCTCAATGATATTTTCTTCTTAGAGGAATGGGGTAAAAATGAAATCTACTTTGAAAGCCAGGTCTTTAAAGGGATGCATGTGTGCTTACAGTCTTCATATACAAATAGTGTCTATTTGTATAAAGAATAAATGGTGGGAGGTTTTCTCCACTGTTCTATTTCAATGTTTATCATATTACTTGGACATTTTGATGTAGAGAGATATGCTCTGTCTTTTGTTTAGGCACCTCAGCACAAATCTACATTGCTATATTGCATGCTACCAAGAAAATTAAAACTATCCAGTCGCAATAATAATTGCAGTGGTTTTCATCCCTTCTTTTTAATTGGTATTGACTTATTCATATTATCTATGTGTATGTTTTAGATGTTTCTCCTCTTCAAGTGTTGTTTGGTTTTCTTTCTTAGGTGCAATGACTTGGGAATACTCCATAGCTGTGCAGTTGTTTCATGAGTAGTAGACCTAAAACCTGACTTTCTTTCTAGGCTCATTGCCTATGTATTTTAGTCCCCACTGTTAGGTGCTCTGGCTCCCTGCCATGCTCCTCAAATGTACCATTCATTTTAGTCTCTTTCAATGATTTTTGTGTGTGTTAGGGATGTCATGCTTGTGGTTTCAACAAATAGAACATGAATTTTGATTAGTAGTAGAGTGACTTTTCTTCAAGGGAAGAGGGACAAAGCTGTGGTTGCTCTTCCTTCAAGAATTACTGGGGGTCCTATTGTTTCTGTTAGGTTTCTGTCTTCTGTGAAATTCATATCCGAGACATCTAGTATCTTGCAAAATTTGATAGAACTTGGACAACATGGTTCAAATTTTATGACTTTGTGATTAGTCATCTCATAATAGCATTTTTTTTTCTGGAAAAATCAAGCTAAAACACTTAGATGGAGCCAGAATGTCATTTCTGTTTAAAGAATCCAATAAGACCATGGATTTTTTTCCCCTTGGTAAAAGAGGAAGGGAAATCATTGCAAGAATTACTGTGACTGGACAGGATAAAACATAACTTGAGATACTATTTTCAAATAACAATACTTTTGCCTTTCAGCCAGAGGAGGTTTCATAACATATATGCCTATTTGTAACAGAACTATTGAATCTGTTTAAAACTGTCTTTTGAATTTCCTTTATGAATTTACACACATGATAAGACCTGAAAATACACTCTATCTGTTCAGTTTTATATCAATCATGGATAAATCCACCCAGCCTCTGTAATTCTGCCTTACAACTACTGTCTCTCAAAGAGTTTTCATTGCTCCAAACTGCTAGTGGCCTTTCAGCAGGAGGAAGCCCACAATATTGTCTTATCTTGTGTGATGTGGGGGGAAAAAATATATTCAGATAATTGCTAGTTTAGTGAGCTTGTTTGTCATAGGCCCTATTCCCAAGGTACCCTTTTTTCTGGGCAGTAATTGATCCATTTTTTATTTCCTTCATCTTCTGCTTTCCCCCACTGCATTCAGATTTTTGTGGCAAATATGTATGTATATATATGTCAACAATTACTGCCTTGTTCAGCTTCCCTACCCTTGACTGAATTTTTATTTTGCATTCTCCACAAAGTCCAAGTTTCAGACCGGTATGATAATGTGACATTTTCCAGCTTGTATCAGTAGAGATGAAATGCCTTTGGTAGTGATGCCTAACTCTGGTTGCAAAGAGGAGAATGAGAAATAAACAGTAGAAATCTAGCTACCAAGGCTCCAAATTGATTTTTGTATGGACACCTGACTTATGTACAGAATTTCACTGGTAAATGCTTGAGGTCACCAGGACAGGAGAAGAGCAGGAGTAGACAAGAAAGAGCAATGCTTGTCTGTCCTCGTACATTTGTATTGTGCTCTTGCTGGGAGAAGATGAGTGCTTCAGCAAAAAATGACTGTAGAAACTGAAGTGAACTGAAAAGTGACTAAAGAAACTGCAGCAGAAACGATTTCCAGGTCTGAATTCACTGTGTAATGCTTGCTGGATTCAGATGAAGCCAGGTTATGGGGTGAGGATCACAGTTTCATGAGCGCTGTCAGAGTCCCTGCCTGTGCCTACACCTGCCTGCCTGAGTGTTAGAGGGGATGAATGCAGACGCAGGCAGGAGAATGGACCCACCTTAAAATTTACTCTATGAATGTAAATATTTAACTTAGGTGAGCCTTGGTAACAGGGAGACCCCAAACTTTGGGATGGGACAAGGACCTGGGCACAGACCTGGCTAGGAGTAGCAGAAGATAGGGTTGCTGCCCTTGTGTAAAGTTTCATGAAAACTAATCTAAATCCTGATGTGGAAATACACATCCACCTTTCTGGTTTAGAAAATGACAGTGATTGACATGCAAGTCCTGTTAATGTGCAGATCCCAGGGTTTTGTTAGGATTATAGATGATAAAGTAAGGGATGGGTCCTAATTAAACAATATATAGAATGTACAGTTTACTTCACTTGTCTTTGCTCAGACTTTTACTTGCAACATTGATTCTTACTTATGCATGTAGTCTGCAGACTCTTCTAACAACGTGATACTTCCATTAACCATCATCAATATTTGCAAACAGGAGATTCATTCACATTGGGTAACAAATAATTTGTTCCTCAGAACTGTCTCAAAGAATATGTTGCAGCTTTTTTACCAATTAATCTGATTTGTAAGATGATGTAAATATTGATCAAATTTCAAAACTGAACCTCTGTAGTTGGGGAATGTAGTGAAAGTTAACCACAGACTGTCATAACTGATGTGCTACATATTTAGTTTCTGAAGTGTGAAGGCTTCTGAGAAGGCTATGAACTTTTACCTGGTGATTTTCCAGAGCCATCAGGAGGTGGGTCTTCAAAAAGCCTTGAGAGCCAAGGGAAGCTCTTAGAGAGGAGCAAAGTGTCGTTGTCTGCTCAAAGCTTAAGCTACTGTGCAGGCTTACTCCCAGATTTGCAAGCGTTGGTTCAAGTACCTGCATCTGCTGATTTGTGTGCTGCTACCGTGTCTGTGTCCAAGGAAGGTGGCTCGAGTATCTCAAAATTAGAACAAAAATATTCAGGTTTTCTGATAAAAACTGTCTGCCATTCATGATTTAGCAATAGATTTTGCCTCTGTATGTTTCATAGTAGTTATTTTCACCTCTTAACAGTTTACTAAGTGATACAAGTAAAATTTGTTACTTTTTTCCTAATTTCTGATTTTCCTTTGGTTTTTAGAGAAGACAACCTATTTTATTACTGCCTCTATGCCAAGGAGCATGTTTTACCTTCTAACCAAAACCAAAACTGAAGGTATTTTAAATGGTGCACTACTCCATCTTTGTTTTCAGACTTGGCTGTATCAGTCTCCTCTAGTTGATTTAGGATGATTGCTTTTCAGATTTGCAAATCACTGCTTCATAAGCCACAACAGTTTTGGGGAGGTCATGGAATTGGTGGGGTTTATTCTGTTGTGATTTTAAAAAAGCAAAAACCTGTTGTATCTCTTTAGCAATTAAAAAAATATTTACTGCCTGGCATATGGCAGTGTTTAAGCACCTGATTCAATTTAGAAGAAATAATTTACAAATAGCTTAGTGTTATGAAGTTTGGAATAGAAACTACTCATATATTGTTGCTTAGTCAAAAAACACTAGGTTCAATAGCAATGCTAACACAAGGCTTTGAGATGGTATTTATGAAGGGTTGAGGGAAAACAAAAAACAATATGAGAGAAGAAGTAGTTCATATCTCCAGGAGACATATTTTCAGTAACAAAAAATCTTTGTTCTTTCAAACATTGTTTTTGTAGTCACTTTTCAAAATTAGGCTATTTGTGGTAGATTTTAATGGAATTGGCATATTGCATGCAGAAAATAGAGTATATTTGTAGCAGTGTAGGTATATTAAATTATTCCAGCAAATCACTTTAAAGTACGAAAATTGTACAAATAACACTCAGCCCTGCACTTAAAAAAAAGCGATTAGAAGATTCTACTGTTGTAGATCTCCAAGAGTGACTAGAAAGAATGAAGGAAAAAATTATTTTTGTTTCCCCTCTGTTTGTGTCATCTGTGGACACCAGTCCCCTCTCCCTTTGCCAAATGACACTGATTTGTTTACATGTTTTGATTAGGAACCCAGGCGTGATATGGCTCATATTCTAGATACTATTGTTCGTCAGATAGGAGCAGACATCTTGCTCAAGGTCACAAGAAAAAAAATCTGTTTCATGATGCTGAATATAAAATTTTTTCTCTCCATTTAGTTCCCTCTTTACCCTGTAAAAAGCTTGTTTGGAAAATTGAGTACTATCCATTTGTACTATCAGTTTTCTGTGAGAAAAAATTCTTATAGTTAAAAGTAGGATATTGATCTGTATAACATCTCTATACATAAAACATTCACTGACATATCTTCTCTATTTCCAGTCTATCCCTTACAGGGAAGATCACACTTCTTGCCTTTATTTAAGAATAAATAATAATTTTAAAAAGCACTCTTTCCCTGCATGCACACTCTCACAAATGATTGACTGTATTTGTTTAGATCGCTTGCACTGTCTTGGGGAAGCTAGAGGGAAAATTGGAAATGCATCTTCTGTATCTCTTGTGTAAATTAGTTTTTTGATCGTTTTGATAGAAGATAATTGCTTAAACATGACAGTTAATTTGTGTTGTGTTCCAGTGTAGAAGCTTCAGAGAAA